CGTCCTCAACTGGTTCAGCCCGAACATGATGACTCCTATCTTTGAATTGTACCCTTGGGTCTATATCTTCTTGCGCTTTCATATCCTTCGTAGAAAGAGGTTGTTCTTGATCGAGGGTACCATCCGAGGTTTCAGGCAAATCCAACATCTCAACGACATCGGTATCAGGGGCAGAGGAGATGTCGGTATTTGAAGCAGATTGATCTATCATTGTAGGATCGAGAAGGATTGAATGTTTCAACTCACCAGAGCTGTCAGCCTCCTGCAACTCGCATACATGAAGATTTCGTAAAGTTGAGAGCAATGTCAGACTTCGCGCCTCCTGTTGATCTCCATAATGAGTGCTTTCCCCTTCAAGAGTGGGGAACTTCAAAGCATAGTGAAAAATTGATACAGCAGCGCGGAGTTTATAAAGTGCAGTTCGTCCCACAACAGCATTGTACTCATTCTGAACATCCAAGACTTTGAAGGTTTCCATAATGATCTTGGATTTTGGTCCAAAACCGCCAAATCGTATAGGGAGCATTATTTCACCGATAGGACAAGATATACTTCCATTTAAGCCTTGAATTTGGTCGTTACAAGGTCTGATGTCTGCAGGATCCAAACCCAGTTTCTTGGAAGTACGGAACATTAAGATGCTTGAATAAGCTCTTGTATCAACCATGATTTGATGAACGGGAATTCCTCCACTCGGGGCAGTAATGATAAGGGCATCAGAATGAAGATGAGCGAACAGGTTGGCGTCCTCAATACTGAATGTGATGGGACAATTTCGCTTATTAATGGTTTCTCGAAGATCAAAATTCATAACTCGTTTCTCGGCATTCTGGGCTTCCCTGGCATAGGCTTTAGCTTTTCGCCGAGAAGTGTCCAACTGTTTGGTATTAGAGTTAACTCGAGGTATGCAGTATGAAGAGTTTAATGTGTCATGTGTTTTGTACTTTTTGCAGTTGTCGGTCGAAGTACCGACAAGGGTGGAAAACGTAAAAACTTCCTTATCATTCGCACGAGCTCTTTTCGGGTTGGCGGGTCGATTGTCATCTTCTTCCTCGTCAGAAAGATCCACAGGCCTTCCTTTCCGACGATTGTCGAAATTTTTGAACTTTTGAAGTTGGGGCTGTCCGATCAAACGTAAGAGAGCTGATAAGAGGCCGAGATACTCATAAGTATTGTGTCCCGGAGATTTATAGTACGCACAGTATCGGGATTTGTCTAGCTTGTCTTCAGAAGTTCTTACTGGTTTTGGATCAGGAATAATCCATTTTCCTTTCAGCTCTTCAAAAATGGTGGCTGCTCCAGCCGAATAAACGGTTTGATAGCCTGTCCTCACATTGTCGGCATATTGGTCTCGGGCAGCTCTGGATTCTGGAGTATTTTCGTATCCTTTCATATAATTCCGATATTTTTTCCCAAAATTTTTCTTATTCTTCTTTTTCGCGTCTAATTCACTCTTATTCTCTTTTACCGAGAAATCAAAACTAGGGACCGACATCGACTCCTCGGCGATAATGAATTTTTGAGCTCGTACGAGGAATTCTTGAAAAGTAGCCAGCTTGTTCTGACATAAAGTCCACCGAAACATCGAATTGGGCTTTAATCCGGCGATTGCAGTCACTAGCAGAGTCTCGGGGTGACAGGGCTCCATATTCTGAATTCGGTCGTTAAACCGAGACACGTAGTCCTTAACAGTTTCGTCGTCCTTTTGCACGATGTTAGTGATTGATTCTTTTGGGATGAGACAAATTTGAGCTCCGATGAAGTGTGATCGGAAAGCCGCACGTAACTGTTGCCACTTCCAAATTGAATGAGGTGGAAGAGTGTTGTACCATTTTTATGCCCGTGGCCCAGTGTAAGTGAAAACATCCGACATCTCAAAGCATCTGAGGCTCCATGCAAATCCATCCACGACGTATAATGACCCAAGTGCGCATCTGGGTCCGAAGTTCCATCATACATGCCAATTTGTGGGATTTTTACCTTAGCAGGGAGTGCTTCCGCGGTGAGTTCTGGAGCTAAAGGTGAATCAGCTTCAATAATGACATTTCCCGACATCGAGACATGTCGGGGAGAATCTTCCTGTGACTTCTGTCGAGTCTCAAGTTCGGCCAAGCGTTTGCGGAGAACCTCAATTTCTTCAGCACTATGCCTTGACATACGATTCCGTTTAATCCGACGTTGTAAATCTTCACGGTCACGAGGTGCCGGTGAGATAGGTCTGGGTCGTGACGGAATTCTTTGATGATGAGCAGAATGACTCTCGGCAGTCATTTCTTGAACTGGAGGTTCCTCCGCGGCCTGGTTGTTCGCTACTGGTTAGCAGTTATACGAGTTAACTCCTCTCGACGTGGAGAAGTATGGCGTGGTTGTGACGTAGCATGGGATGTCGCCGCATGTGTTTTAGGGTCATGGCGAGTATGATTTGGATGTTCCGTTGGATTGATAGCAAACGGTGTTGATAATGGCACAGTACTCGAGTTTCTGGGCATGGCTCGAGCTATCAGAGAGGTTAAACCTTGAATAAACTCTGGGTTTTGAAGGAAGTTCGTGATATTCGTGACTGGAGGAGGTGGTGTTGAACGCCGTGGGGAATGATTAATCGATTGACTCTGGCCAGGATGAGTTGTATGATCTCGACCAGATTGCGACATGGTGACTTCGAGCGCGGAAATGGCTATAACAGCGGAAGTTAACCTCAAAACGTGATGAGGCCCTTCCTCTAGCGCCAAACTGTTGTAATTTAGTAATCAACAACCATATGATAATCAAGAATTCATCGTGTGTTTAAGATAGATTAGCAAAGAACTTAGGAAAAGTTGAATGAAATAGAATTTGCTGAATATGATCGTATATTTCTCGTGTGTATCTGGAGAATCCCTTTTCTCCTTTTATATTAATTTAAAATATTTATCTGAAATGCAATCATTACATTTGAAAGGTCAAAGGCGGCTTCTTGCCATTTATCTTGGTAGCATGCCACTTGGACAGATGTAATGATGATTTGTGTTGAGTTGGCGCCGCCTTACGGCGTCGACATGGCAAGTCATAGATATCGGTTCAATTATCCTTAACCAATATGTCCTAATCGATATGTTGTATCCAACATTTCGCAACCGATATGCGATGTCGGTTTTGAAAGAGGAAGATGTCGGTTCGAGCGAGGAAGATGTCGGTTTCCCCTGACACGTTATTGCTTTAGGATTCTTGAAGATGCTTTCCTTCTTGTACGAGCATAATCTCCAACTTACTGAGTATAAATGCTTAATAAATATCGCTTAATTCGGTTTACCAAAAACCATATCAACAATTGCATCTAATATGAAGTAACTAACAGTATATTAAAGCTACTAAAGCGATTAAATTAAATCTGTAATTTTAATTGTTTTTTTTATTTATTTATTTTGTATGTTAATGTTATAATTGTCTCCTACTTTATTTCCATCCTTAGGGTATTTGTTTTAATTAAATGTAGGTTTATGTATGTTCCTTGCCCGCACACAGCTGATGTAATTTGTGAGGCTTTGTTTGATTGCTTAATGGATTGGAATATCGATAGTAAGTTGTCTACCTTGACATTGGATAACTGCACTACGAATGATTCTGCTGTTGGTATGCTATCAATATTGATGAACAAATTCTCTCCTGACTCTTTGTTGTTGAGTGGACATTACTTACACATGCGTTGTGCTGCACATATTTTGAACTTAATTGTAAAAGAAGGTTTGAAAGTAATTGAATCTAGCATTGAAAAAATCAGAGAAAGTGTTTATTATTGGACAACAACACCGAAAAGAGTGGAGAAATTTGAAGAGACCGCACGACAATTGCATATCAAATACAGTAAAAAACTTGTGCATGATGTTAGAACTAGATGGAATTCCACTTATTTCATGCTTAGTTCTGCGTTGAGGTATAAGTCTATGTTTCCTCGCTTGAAACAACGTGATCCAGCTTATAAAATTGTTCCTACTGAGCATGATTGGTTGCTTGCTGGTGAGATTTGTGAGAAATTGGAGTGGTTCTATCGTTTGACCAATACATTTTCTTCTACGAAGAACCCAACTATGAACACAATCGTTATGGGTATTTGTGAGCTTAGACTTTGAATGAATACTTGGCTCGATTGTTCATATCCAGAGGTGGTGAGTATGGCCGAGAATATGATCGAGAAATTCAAAAAATATTGGGAGGACATACATATTATTTTCTCATTGGCACTCATTTTGGATCCTAGATTCAAGTTCAAAATGATTGATTACTACTACGACAAACTACTTGGAGCCGAT